GGGGGGGGGGACGAAAGCTAAACTACAAAGAAAAACCGGAAATGAGGTCAGCGTCCGTTAGATAGGAAGGGGTACCAACACGAAAGCGCGAACAGACCTGAATAATGATTATAGAATTATGTGTTATTGTGTTTAGAGCTCAAACACAGCAAACCCTTCACCAGCATAGACAGTTCCGTTAAAGGGCCGTCAAAAACCTGGGTGCACTTCCGGACCATATGTTACGCACTATAGGCCCTATTTTGTTGGGAGCCTAACACAGTGTGACCGTCACAAGCCTATCCACCTCTCTGCTGCACCTGTGCTGAACTCGTCCCACTGCCAGCGTTTTGCTGATGGTTTCGGTTTTAATGCTGCAAAAACACTTGCCCAGTTTTCATCAATCCTAAAACCAAAATCAGCACAGAGGCTGAAAGCATGATCGATGCTGCTCGGGCAGGACGTATTATTCACAACAAACATTGACGGGTGGAAGGATGGATGGATAGATAGATTGATGGATGGATGAATGACAATGCAAAGACTATGATAGACCCTCCCCCAAGGGAAGAGAAAGGAAGGAATGCGATATCCACCTGGCAGGGAGATCTAGAGGCAGATCTGAGACACATGGGTCACATCCGGCTGTAGTGGAGAAGATCGTCCACATCAGAGACAGGTAGAGGATCCTTTTTGGCGGGCTACCAACGTGAAAGAGGCGAATAATCTGTTCATGGGGATATAAACTATTTTATTATCTCCCCCCCCCCAAACCATAGTTCTATGGACAAGTCACTTGGGTTATATCAGCTATACACACGAGTTAGCAACATGACATGACATATCTCAGTACAGTTCTGCTGAATCCCTGCGTTGTCTCGATCACGAACCGTAAGCTGCAGCAGTGCAGGTTTTATTTGTTGCCAACATTTTATTTTATTATTATAGTCAGCTACAGACTAGAAAGTTTTTATTATCTATGCGCGTTTTATTGAGCGAGAATACGGTTAAGGCCGGTCCCAGAGTGGCTCTGTAGGTCTGACCTGTAGCTCGACACGCGCACGCCGTCTGCGTGTCAGCACAGCCGCACTGTGCGTTGGCTTCTGTGTCTGAGTGAGCGCCCTCTGCGTGTCAGCACAGTCGCACTAGGCTAGAAGCACACAGGCCAACTAGTCGAAACTAGGTCAACCTCTCGTTTGGAAATTTTAATGTAGGATAAAGAGCATTTCTAGAGATTCTGTGGCCTTGTGTTGAAGCTAGCATCAATATCTAATAGTAAAGCACCTAATAATACTTACTTCTTGCTGATTTTGATGATCTGTGAAGAATATCACTGATATCAGTCGACAATAAATACGAAGCGAGGCTGCGTACGACACGTCCGACGTGTTTTACAACACTGTTGAATAGCACGTCTGAGCTCAGCTCAGCGGACAACAGACAGACCATACAGCGACGCTGCTCAGGCACATGATAATGTATACGTTCATTTGCACGGTGCGAGCAAGGCCAGCTACAGGGCAGACCTACAGAGCCACTCTGGGACCCGCCTAATGGTGAGCAACAACACCTCGCAGCAGCTGTGGCGTAACGGTTTGGCGCTTAGTCCTCACACGCAGAACGTTCGATTCCCTTGTGGGAAGAATTTATATCCTGAATTAAAGCCAAGGGGGCTTTCGTGGTTACGTTGTTTGCTTCTCATTCAATATGTCCCGGGTTCCGATCGGAATGCTACGGAAACTATTTTTTTTCTAAAATGTCTCCTTTCACCTCCTTTCTTGTTCTCTAACAATGTTCTGTCGTTTGTTTTCCATTCTACTTTCTGCCCGCACACCTCACCTTTTTTGCCCCCTCCTCTGGGCTTTCGCCTTTCTACTGCTATTGCTGGAGAATTTGTATCGAGAATCTCAATTTCTGAAAGGACATGAGTATTACCTCTCAGCCTGGCTTGGTTGTGACAAGCAGGGTCGAGTCCCACATCCATCCAAACTGGTCTAAAGTGTGTTGATGGGGGCGTAAAAACACCTGTATTAAGAAAGAATAACAGTAAAGAAAATTTCTGGTGTGAGTTTCACCACAGACAAGCAAGAACACAAGGCAAACGTCTTTCTTTCTGTGCTGCTCAGACACACTCACACACACTCACACACACACACACACACACACACACACACACACACACACACACAGTGCAGGGATGAAGCAAGACACTTGGTCTGAGTAAATAGAAGCACATGTACATATAAGTAACTTTTACATGGTGCAGACAAGAAATAAGACAGATAGACAAGAACAAATGAAAGAAAGGAAAGAAATAAGACAGATAGACAAAAACAAATGAAAGAAAGGAAAGAAATAAGACAGATAGACAAGAACAAATGAAAGAAAGGAAAGAAATAAGACAGACAGACAAAAACAAACGAAAGAAAGGAAAAAAATAAAACAGATAGACAAGAACAAATGAAAGAAAGGAAAGA